TATACTCGAGTATATACGGTAGCTCCTGGAAAACTCCTTTCATAAAGTTTAAATGAGCTAACATATCTCCACCTTTCAGAAGACGTACCCTAAACAGTTTGCATGTAATATACATCTGATGGATTCTGTACAGCATCCCATAATCCCTCCCTACGCAGGAGTAGACTGCACTTCATAGACCAGGAAACATAGTTTGTTCCATCCAACCGGGTTATCAGTGATAGACTTGTTGATTGGTAGTGTGCCATCTTCTCCAGGATAGTAACAATTACAAAGCAAAACAAAAACAAAAACAAAAAAAACAGCTATCTGTATACGGTATTGTGTATCAATACCAACTCTCCTTTAGCTACGTCTGGTATAACCTGCGCCTATAACCAGTGTTAGGTAAGCTCTCTGTTAGGAGAACGAGTGCGTGCAGAGAAGCATAATGAGAGTGGTGTCGAAGAACACATAAACCAGCATACCGGGACACTGAATTGTAAAACAGATAGTGTTGTACTTCTGTAGAAATAGAGGTATGCAGAGTCCAATTCATACACGGTTAAGACAGTCAGTCATCAACATTCGCAGTTAAGGGGTGATCCAACAAACACAGTCCAGAATCATATAAACAGTTCAGCACACAAACATTGTAAACAGTTGCAAAACTCACAGTAATTCATGCTGATCAATACATCTACAACCATCATCCAACAATCAGCCTCTAACAATCAGCCTAGCTCCATCTTATGGCTGCTTGAGGGAACAGCAACCAATCACATTTACAGCAGTAATTAAAGATACAGTATTACTATCATGGTTTATATATTGCCAACTCAACTGTTAGATTACATTCCTAACAGAATTATATGTAAGAAATTTTCAGTTTTCTCATGAACCTCATGAGGGACATTTGTAGTTTTGGAATGTAATAGAGCAGTGATAGTAATTAGTGTTTTCAGGAATCAAAAAGTTCTTAGTAGAAAAGTGACAGAATTAATTTTGTGTTGTGTAGCTTAGTGCTGCTTTGCATGTCTGTTAACGAGTAAGCCTGAACTAATCTGCAAAATACCACATTTTCTAAAATTTAATTATAAAAACAAATTTGTTTCATTGATTCATGTTTACAGTAGTTATATAGTCATCCTACATAATTATAAAATTTTGAAGTAGCAATGTTGGATAAAGTTCTTACAATTATAATCAGTATTCAAAATAACTGAATTTAGCTTTCTTCTAAATACAGGTATTCGGTAGTTAAAATTTTTTAGTTCTTCAGTTAAAAGACGCCTACAAGTAATAATAAAATTATTAGCAGAAGAAAAGAAATGTTTAAAGTTTCTTGAAAAAATCTTCTTGTGGAGATTACTGCTAGTAAGGTTTGCTCACCAGGTTCAAATTTGCATCTCTCTCATGAGCAGAAACTGGGGATTATTCTGTAATATCTGTGAAATTCAGTCATTAAAATTCCAATAATTACTGTTAGCCTAATGTGAGACATTGTATCTATAATTATGTTCTGTCACAGTGTTGCCCTTCATACCAGTGAGTTTTACCAAATTCAAGAGTGTCTCTTGGATTTCCACATTCTACCTGTTGTTATAATGGGCATCATTTATATCATTTTAATAGTTAGGTTATTGAATACTCCTCTTCATAAAACAATCAGTTGTTTTGTTTTGTTGTCCTGACAAATATATTTAAAAGCTCTTAATATTACCTACAATCAATTGTTTTGATCATCACAATATTCCTTCTAGAATAATTTTCCATTCCTTTTCTTACACCTACTATGGAGTTATCTGCATGCTACAATCTGTTTCTTCCAGCGATATTGTTCTTTTCTCTAGTATTGAAACCAACAATGCTGATCATTTATTTAGTCACTGTTCTTCCCTTGGTATTATTGTCTTTTTGCTCCTGCAGTCTGAAATGTTCTTTCTTATAAGGTAGTTTGATGCATCAAGGTATGAAGATAGTGACTCCGAGATTACATCCTCAATTTCATTATCCATTTCATCCTCAATGTGACCATTCTGCTTGTAAGATATTGATTAATGGTCTTTTGTTTCGAATACAGCCTTGCCTAAAGCCTTCTGGTTTTCTTAGATATGCTCAGAATAGGGTTATAACTATAGAAAGCATAGATGTAAATATGAGATTTAGTTCACAGTCTGCCAATTAGATAGCAATGTTGGGAGAGGCTGTTGCCAATCAGTAGAAATCATATAGCCACTAAAATGGAGTTGCTAAAAAACCCCAACGTGGTCGTATCAAGAGGGATAGGATCAAGATCACATGAAGTATTCATACCACTTTATACTGCACTGATAAGATCACACTTGTAATATTGCATCCTGTTCAAAAAAGATACTGATCTAAAGCAGGGATGTCAAACTCAGGATTTCATGGCGTGATGTATCACGACTTCCTCCACTTTGCTAAACTGGGTGTGGGCGTGGCCAGCATGTGATGCATTTGGCCCACAGCCCATGAGTTTGACACTCCTGGTCTAGAGAATACAGAGAAGAAGAACCAAGATGATTAAGGGACTGGAGGGTAAACTGTATGAATGGTTGTAGCTACGAGGTATGTCTAGTCTAACAATGAGTAATACTAGGGGTGACATGATAGTAGCCTTCCAATATTTGAGGGTTTGTCACAGAGAAGAGGGGCTTGACCTATTCTCCAAAGCACTTGAGGACAAGACAAGAAATAATGGATGGAAGATTATCAAAGAGAGATGAACCTAGAATTAAGAGAAATTTCCTGACAGTCAGAACAATTAATCAGTGGAATGGATTGCTTCCAGAAGTTGTGGATGCACCACGACTGTAGGCTTTTAAGAAAGGATTGGACAGCCATTTGTCCAGAATGGTATAGGGTCTCCGGCTCGAACAAGGGGGTTGGGATAGATCTAGATCTCCAAGTCAATTCCAACTATGTTATTTTGTATATATTGGACTAGAATGAAACAGTGGTTTTAAAAGTATTTTCTAGTTGTGCGTGTATGTATGCAGTAATAAATGTACTTTATATATTAAATAAAATCAAATTGAAAATAGCTTTTAAAATGTGATCATGTTCCCCTAGATTAGCTCTAATATCTTTAGAACACTTCCTCCAAGTGAAAATCCTGATTTCGATCCAGAAGAGGATGAGCCTACATTAGAAGCTTCTTGGCCACATATACAGGTAACTTCTTCAAATTTCTTTATTGATATTGAGTTTTATTAGCATTACAGATATCAGATGCAATTTCAAACAAAAGTCATGTTTTCTATGGCTTGCTGCTATACTAGTAGTCATCCGGATTTCTGAAATCCAGCTCAGGTAACCCTGAAATTTTGTACTTTGTCATCTACAATCAGTTTTGCAAATACAGTATATACATTTTTATATGCTCCTGAATCTGTTTCAAACCATTCCATATGGTCACCTGATTTTACCTTCCAGGATTCTGAAATGTTATTTTTCATCTTTGATTGACATTTTACCATTTCATTCAGTCCTACCTTCTAAAATGTAGGACCCACTTATCAGTAAAATTACTGGTTTTACTATTACCAAATTAAATCCTGGTTCTTCTTTATCCTCCATCTATAACTTGTTCCTGTCTCAGATGCTACTGATTATCTCCTCTGGCCTTAACTAGATTGAGTTCTTTGACTTTTAATTTGAATTTAGTGAGGCAAACTCAACTCTTAAAATAAGGCTTAATAAATCTTTTATTGGCTCTTCTATAGTAGTGGCCAAAATTGTGGAAATCTTTTGGGAAAAGTCTATTTTCTAAAACTAGCTAATAGTTTTTTTTAGTAGGACCATAAAATTATATATCAATGGAAAGATAATTTAATCAAGAGTGTAATGCAATAACTTTTATAAAAAATTTGCTAATAGAATAGCAGTTATAAAAAAGAAAAATGAAACAAGTTATACAAAAATTATCACCATAGAAAAAAATGAGATATACAAAAATTATCACCGTCAGTTAATACTTAGTTGGATAATCTTTAGCATGAATTACGGCCTTACAACATTTTCTTCTGGAGTGAACCAAGTCTTTTAGTTCTGCAGCTATTATAATGTGAAATCAAGATTGAATGATTGCTTCTATTAACTAGGTTTTATTGCTGGGTCGCTTCTGACTAACAAGTTTCTTTAGTCGGCTTCATACATTCTCAATTGAGTTAAGGTCTGGGCTATTCCCAGGCCATTCCAGCAGTGGAATATGATTATCTTGAAACTGCAAAAAGAAAAGTGTTATTAGCCATCAAACCTCAAAAATAAACTTTTCTCAAAAGGATTCCACAATTTTGTAGAAGATTTTTTAAGTATAAATTGCCTTCAGGGTTGGCAAGAAGTTTGTGGGATTTATATTGGGTGTTGATAATGATAACCTTCAACCTTTGAATAAACCTATTCAATTCAATTCAATTCAATTCAATTCAATTCAAGGTGCTTCTTACCACCTATAAAGCCCTTCATGGTAGTGAATCTGGGTACTTGAGAGACCGCCTCCTGCCAATTACCT